ACAGATTTAACAAGCTCTGCTTTGTTGCTAAGTGCTTTAGCTGATCGACATAAAATGTCATACCAGGATAAACTGGCAATTTACACATCTGTAATACACTAACAGTATTTATTATCAGTATATTTTTTGTGGAATTGCCAAAGATTCCTGACAGAGATGGGCATCCAGCCTTGTCTGATCAGGTCTGCTGTGCGACAGGTGCTTAGCACTTTTGAGGTGGGCTTCACAGGCAAGGAGAAAGATCCGCTGTGACCTTTACACCAACCTAAAACATCCCACGTACCATCCATGGTATGATTGCAACTGCTAAACTGTTGAAATTCCATGGTTTCATTCAGAGAGTGCGCAAGCACAAGAGAGAGAAAATGTGTATGAGTATGTGCTAATGTCCTAGTATAGGCTAAAAAATGTAATATAAACAAAAACACAGACTTACTTTGCTCTGCTTTAAGCTTTAGCTCAGCTATAGCGACTTTTCTCGCATCTCCGGCAGGAAACTTTTCCACAAAAGCGGAACAGTTTCTTGTAAAATGTCTCTTAACGTTTAACTTTTTACGAAGCTTAAGTCAGCTTCTCATTTGCCAGCTTCTTCTTGTTCCACATTAAATGGTGCCTGAGACACCAGAATGTGGCCAACTATGTAGGTAACTGTTGCACCATTTAAGGTGGAATGTGAAAATTTAAACAAAAAGCTGGCGAGAAGCTTAGCAGTTCCACATTAACTCCAGCGTTTAAGTCCATTTATTGTTAAACTGTGTTGAACGATCAGCAGAGCTTTATCTTACTGCAAAGGAGGATTATTTTATTTTTACCTAATAATCTAATTCTGCTGTGGAGCCGCAACATGACAGTTAAAGAGCTGCATATGGCGTATTGCCGGCCCCTGGGATAGTATGAAAGTATGCCACATCAAACATCCTCACAGGCCAACTCTGAGGAGCCCTGACATAAACAGCAGACCTATAATGCAGGTGGAAGTACAAGCTAGGTGTTTCTAAAGAAGTGGACCGTTTATATGCATCATACTCATACACCACAATTCACATTTACTACAAATTAGAACTAGAAAATTAGAATTAGAACCTGAAGTTCTTGGCTTTTTCTGAAATAAAGTCAAGCATCGTGCATCAGCTTAATAAGCAGCCTCACTGTTTCCTTCAGCACAAATAATTTTGTCAGATTGTCAGCTTAAGGTATTTGCCACCAGGGACCCATTTATCTGGATTGTTGTGACCGGAGCTGCAGCATGTCTGAAATGAAACTCTAAAGAGTGTGTGGGATAAGGTTATTTGTTCCCTGCAGGCACCTGTACTCCTGTAAGGACATTGTGTTGCGGAGGAGCACGTCAGGCAGTCTGGGTTTCAGCATCGTAGGAGGACAGGAAGAGCTCAACTGCAACCAGTCCTTCTTCATTCGCTCCATTGTAGAGGGCACACCCGCCTACAATGATGGCAGAATACGGTACGTGGCAATTGTGCTTCTGCATTAAAACTGGTAACACTATTATGATGGTCCACTGTAAACTGTTTTTAACTGACACTCAACTGAGGATTTAATAGCTGCACTTCAACCCTAAACCTAAACCCAGCACTTTTTTAGCCACGTTCACATGCAGACTGATAATCCGTTAATAATCCGACTAATCACTCAATCGGAATAGAATTCATCCATGTATACTCCTCAATCGGAATAGTCTGATTGAGGCCATTCAGAATACCATTTCTGTCCGATTGAACAAGGTGAGTAATCCTATAAATAATCAATTAGATATAAGAATAATAGCCGTGTAAACGCCTGTATCTGATTACATTCCCAATCGGAATGTTTAAAAATGTTCTGATCACGTGTGTTGCGAAAGTTTATAACGTTCAACATGGCGGAGCAGAAACTTGTCTGCAGAGGAGACAAAGTTTATGCTCTGATCTTTAAAAGACGGCGGTGGGACGAGCGTCCAGCTTATGTGTCTCAGAACACGACGTCTTCCTCTCACCCCTCTTTAATAAGTACATGTGAAGTACGTTTTCCTGAGTCTGACATCATTTTAAAGTAAGTAATTAATCTGACTGGACTCATGCGATGCTTGTTGTCATGGTAACGTCTACACTATGTGTTTCTCTACGTATGCGCGTAATTTTGAATTGAATTACTTCAGCCTTAATCCTAAACCTAACAGTAATGATAGCTACTGATAGTCAGATTTACAAAATGATTTAACAACTAGCATTTCATAAGAAACCTTAACATCACCCTCACCATCACATCTCTGACAAAAATCAGCAGAGACCAGCATGCATTCCAGTGCTGGCTGGTTTGCCGGCATACCAGCATCCAAAACATATCATCAATCATCACTGTTGGAAAAAAACTTTCCGTTTTTCTCATTTCTTTTTTTTTTTCTTACAAAATTTGAAAATGACATCTCCTCTTCACACAGTGTTAAAATTTCATGATGAATGTCCAAAATGGCTCACAAGTAATATTGTTACATTGACTTCCACTGAAAGTAAAAAATGTTTTAACATTCTTCTGCAAAGTTGAGATTTTGGAGATATGAGGTTTTGTTCCAGCTCTGTGGTCTATGCTGGTTTTTCTAGCTGGGACATCTAGAGCAACCAACTTCAGGTGATGTATTTTGGAGGTGGGAGGAACTACAAGTGCTTTAGGCTGATTATATGAGGGCAGGTTGTTTGATTTCCTTTTTGTTCCCCCGGCCACCGGGCAAACGCAGAAGGGAGTGAGACAGCTGTTGTACCTATCTCAAGGAAGCTGAATGTAACATCTGTATTTATCAGCCTCTACATTAGTGCAGTTCTTTATCGCTGTGGGTAGAATTCCCGATAATTGTATGACATATTTGCACAGTGCATGCTGGGTATTGTAGTAAGACTGCTGACTGAGAAAAACACAAAAGGATGCAAAATCATAATTCTGTCAAGCTGATGTTGCTGAGGGAAGCATTGCTGTGCTACAGAATATTACATAACAAGACAAATATATGAAACACTAGGTTTTTGGCTGGAATGCCCATCTAAGCTGTGTTAGCCTAGTTTTTTTTTTTTAACAATATTTCTATTAGTCCATTCATCACGACTTCACAATTTTTAAATAGTGTCAGAATTTTCATATTTTTTAATAAGTTATAGATCAGTTATATAGGATCACCAAAAAAATTGCGTGTAATGGTCATTTTTTAAATTATCCATTCTTTCTCTGTCTAGCTGTGGAGATATCCTGCTGGAGGTGAACGGGAAGAGCACCTGGGGAATGACCCACACAGCTCTGGTGCGCCTGCTGAAGGAGCTGAGGGGGCGCATCACCCTCACCATCGTTTCCTGGCCCGGCAGCCTGCTATAGGTCCGCACTGCATGGGGGAGGGGTTTATCGCACTGACCCTATACTGGGGGCGGGGCTTAACACAGCCCCTGCCCATGGAGAGCAGGGCTTTGGACATGGACTTCCTTGGTAGGCAGGTCATATGAAATGGACCCCCCCCACCTTTGAAAGGTGTTGCCAAGGCGCATTGACCTCGCCCAGGCAGGAGGGGCTTACATGGACTCCTGCTCATAACGGTGGGGCTCATGACAGACTTATGATTGCCTTACAGTGGCTGTTCAGTTAAACTGACAAGGCTTTGGAAGGGATGCTGTAAGGAGTCTGGAAGGTTCTTCGGGCTTGTGACAATATACACACTTTTGCTGGCTGCCTGGGACTCAAGACTCCTAACCCCGCCCTTACCGATCTCGCAGTTTAGGCACAGGAAGACACATAGAGCAACTAATGACGCTAAAACCTGCTGAGGATGCCACGCTGGCCGAGGGCCTGAAGGTTGGAGGAAGGGAAGCACCGATAAACATCATTATCACATCATTACAAGGAGTGCATTTGAAGATACATGTGATAAAGTGTACATAAGCACTCCTTTATGGGCACTGTGCAAGGAATATATGGGGTGCGTGACACTGATTTATGACAAAAGAGAGGAGTTTCTGGGAAATGTGGTTATTCAAACCAGGGGAATATGGTAGTTCTGGGGTGGGAAGGGAACACAAGTTGCCAACTCCGTTAGTTTATATGTTAGAACATGCATTTAAGTGGACGCACATTTCTTTACTGTTAATGTTGGTGTCTGGAGAAGAAAAAAAAAAAAAGAGACGAATTCAAACACTCGTACTATGATGACTATTTCTTTCGTTTTTTGTTTACTTCTCTCTGTTCCTATGGCCTTTTGGATATCGGCTTTGCTTTCTTCGCTCTGACAGTGGTGCATTCTCTCCAGCCGTTGGCATGGAGACCCGTTTGCCAAGTAGTTTGTTTTTTTCTTTTTCGTCTGTGCTGGTATGTTTCAGACGCTGTCGCAAAGACAAAAATCTCCAGTGAGTATTATGAAAAGAAAAAAAAAAAAACAATGGAAGTTGACTAAAATAAATACTGTTCATATGCTCTTTAAAAAAGGATATCTATGCTTATAACAATGAGATTTTGGCGGCCTTGCTGATTTTGCTACTCTAGAGACATGAGCTGAGAGAGCGGAGCGTGGAAGCATTTTTTTTTTTTTTCCGTGTGTGTGAACGTTGTCGTGGGAAGCTGTGCGGTCCAGTGTCTCAGGCTTTTGGCTTGTGTAGTATACTGTATCTGATGAGACCTTTGGATAAATAACCAATAAAAATCATTCTACAAGGAGATTTGTGCCAGAGTGAGAGCTTTTACATTGTGTTGTGTTGTGTGTTTCAGAAAGATAGAGACAGAAAAACACAGTCAGTGTGGTTCCTAATCTGCTCTAATGACTGTATCAAATTATCACACGTGTGCAGCTGCTTTATGAAATTATTTATAAGACTGTTTTTCTACCTCAACAAAACATCATTTGGCACAACAAAAATATCATTCGGATTATTCTCAAACAATCAAAATGTCAAATTGTCTTAAATTATTATAAATAAACTTAAATTAAAAATATTCTGTACCCTTTTTTGTTCATTTCTATCGTAAATGAGAAAATGTAACATAAATCAGCTCTGCGTGAGCCTGGCTCTTGATTGGCCCAAATGAAAGTATGTAAATGGTGGCTATTGGGCTTAAGACAGAATAAATTAAGACTTCTCTATTAGTCAGCACAAAGCTAGTTGGCCTGAGGGTTTATTCAGTGGGCTCTGATTGGTTGTCGTGCTCAGCGCTGCGCTCCTCACTGGGCTCTGTGCTGTCTCGGTTGCGTCTGGAGCGTTTGTGTCTGTGTCTCCTGTGGCTCTCTCCATCGTCACTAGCGTGCCTTCTCCTACTGTAGCTGCTGAGAGAGGGAAAGATGGAGGGAGAGTAAAGGAGGGGGAGAAAAGGAACAGATGATAAAGTCACCATCCATCAAAAGTTTGTAGAGCAATCATTTTTTTCACAATTATTTCAGTATAACCAGAATACATGTCTGCAAAGTATTTGTTAACATAAAACAGCTATTTACTAGCTACAATGTGCAACAAGGCAGGACAGTGGAAGTGACTACTCAGGGCTTCTATGCGAAGGGGGCTCTCAATGGGCCTGGACTGAAAAGTTTGCTTTGCTGTACAATTACAATTTTCTAAGCTATTAGTGTCATAACTAAATGAAGATGGGGCTGATACTGAATTTTACAGTTATATAAACACTGAAAACCTGTCTCATCTCGATAGGAAGGGGCCCCCTTTAAAGACTGCAGTTGCACAGGGTCCAGAAATTTGAGGAACACTCCTGTTTCGTAACATACTACGGAGCCCCTGAAGGAACGTGTGGTGCATTCTTTTTCAGGTGAAAATCTGGTTAGCACAACATACTATGTGGTGAGCACCTGATACTATAAGGTGAGCACCAGATACTATAAAAAAATGATCATGTCTGTATCTGGTGCTCAGCTGCTAGTATTGGATGAAAATCGTATAGAATCTGGTGCTCACCTGACAGTATCTGGACTTCACCTGATAGTATCGAGTGCTCACCTAATGGTATCAGGTGCTCAGCACATAGTATCTGGTGCTCACCACATATTATTGGGTGCTCATCATATAGAATCTAGTGCTCACTTGATAGTATCTGCTGCTCACTGGATAGTATTGGGTGCTCACCTGATAGTATTGGGTGCTCACCATTTATTATCTGATGCTCACCTGATAGTATCAAGTGCTCATCTAATAGTATGTAGTGCTCACTACATTTTTATCTTTAAAAAAATAAAAAAATAAATAAATAAACCATCTGACCCTTCAGGGGCTCCGTAACACACCTACTGCAACAGCATTCATTGTAATACTAAAAACTAAAACTGTAACTAAATAAAAACTTTTTTTTAGAAAATAAAAATAAACAAAAACTTTTAACCTAAACTTAAGACTAACTAAAACTAAACTGAAAACAAAGACCAAAATGAAAACCTAAATAAAAATAAAATCTAATGAAAATTTCAAAACTATATTAACCCCGCTCAGCTTCATGTTCATCAAAGTGTCTTCCCTGGTATGAAGAGCAGATGAAAAGCCTAAATATTTTTTTTTTCCTGAACTATTGTTAAAAGGTCATGCTGAAAATCCTCTGACTGGTTTGAAGGTGCTTTTAAAAGCAGAAAAGTTTGAATGCTGATATCACAACAAGGGGGTAAAGAGTTCCAGATGTGATCTTGTAACGTGAACGTCTTGTGGCCACCAAGAGAAATTTTGGACATAATGTGAGTGGGAACATAGACTTATTGGGGTGCAAAGAAAATGGCTAATTCTAAACTGTCTAATATAAAATATTAATGTAATATAATAGTAACTGGTTACATTATTGCAAATCAAAAGAGAAAACAAAAATATTTGAAAATCCATGTCAGGATGTAGTTGTACAAACATGTATGAAGTGTGTGTGCAATGTGTAAATCTGAAGTGTGTGTTTGTACGTGTGTGTGTGTGTGTGTGTGTGTGTGTGTACCTGCGGGAAGATTTATGCCGTTCGCTGCGCTCCCTGTGTCTCCTCTCTCTGTATCTGTCCTCTCTCTCTCCTGTTCCACCAGCACGCTCCTGTTGTCTCTCTCTCTCCCGATCAGTATGATCCCTGTGCCGTAACGCACACTCTTCATCACTGCACAAACACAGAAAAGAAGAGAATCTTTGTTTGGTACTCCACTACAGGGTTACTGTACAGAGAGCAAACTCTCACGCTCTTTTACTGTACACAGTCAAAATGAATGCTGCCCAAAAAATGGCCCGCAGGCCAATACGTGACCCATGAGGACACTTGATTTCGCCTACCATAAGGTAACCCAGCTTCAAATAGTGCCATTTACTGCCCAGTCCATACAGTCTATAAGGGTAAATTAAGCTGCAAAAACAGCCTGTGATGTCACAAAACCAACATTTTTTACATCCGCCTATTCCGCCTGTCTGAGTGTTTCAATCTGGACTATTTTTGTATGAGGCACAATACATGGTAGAATATTAGAACAGACTGCTTTCTGTACATAAAATCATATAAACGCCATAAACAGACCTCAGGAAAAACAAAACCTTTAATACTGATAATGTACAGTGTCTTGTTAACTAGTGCATCTTTTTCAGGAGTGAAGATTTATTCAGTTTTGATAAACAGTCTCTTGCTTACCATCTCACTAACCTCTCTCTCTCTCGCTTACCCTTTTTCCTCTGTGTTTTTTCTATTCTGTTGATTAGCTACTGGACACACATGCATACACACTCACCTACACATCACTGTTTTGTCCTCTACTGACCTTCTCAACACACCCCCGTTCTTCATGTTTTAAATTTGCTTTATTACTTACCAAGAGTCCTCCCAGTCCCAGGAGGCAATGCTCTATTCAGGGGATAATTTATTAATCCTCAGCTTCCACGCACACGCACACGCACACGCACACACACACACACACACACACACACACACACACATGCACGCACATCTGATCTGTATGCACATGGAGCCAAAAATAAACTCCGCTAAAACAGTCCAGGTTGTGAGTGTTCAGCACACAGAGTGAATAATGATGTATGTTAATGAAAGCCACAGCTCAGCCTGCACACGAGCCCCATAAGCAGAGAGAGGGAGAGGGAGAGAGAGAAGGAGAGTCGGCGAGAGAGAGAAGAAAGGGGGACCGGGCAGGAGAACACACTGCATGTATAATCAGCAGTTTATCAGTTTATATACTCAGGGATTCTATTAGAAGGTTACAGAATTGGCTTAGATTAGATTCATACTTAAGATTAGTTTCACAAATATTAACCCCTTCAACTGCAGGCTTATCATTGAATAATCAGTTATGATAAAACGGCTAGTTTCGGTTCTAAAGTCTGATTGGCTGAGCTGCGTTCGAAGCCGTTGTAAAATCCACAATACACCCACACCTATGAATGCCTCACAACAACTGAATAGTGTATTACTGAGCCACGTCACGGGAAAAAAAAAAAAAAAAATGTTATGTTCTTATGTTCTTAACTAGAACTAGGCTGGTCAGTTAGCTAACAGGCTAAAAGATAGCTAACAGCCTAAACAACTCCATCATTAATATCACAGGCTTGAATTAAAGCACTTATGGTATAATTAACTGTAAAACAGCAATAAAAGTCTAAAAAATATCACTTGAATGAATTACACGCTTCAAATGTTTGTGTTTCAGTCAGGAGCATCATCAAAATTTAGAAATTCTAGCCTCTACAGCCAAATAGTGCTTCATTTATCGAGTGTGGATGTGTCTGAGTCCCAAATGACTGTTTCTTAGCTGTATTATGCTCTGTTGGGCTGCAGGATCCAGTATTTAAATTCCTATGTAGTGCACTATGTAGGGAGCAGGGACCGTTTGAGATTCAGCCCCAGCGTGAGAAGAGGGCGCCACTGGATTGGTGCTAATAAGACTCATGGTGGTAATTTGGTGACCAAAAAGTGCTTAAAAAGCGAAGGTTTTGCATTAAACAGTGCAATAAAAAAGTAAAATAAAAAACACTAAATGACCGCAATATACAGAGATAGGCACCCGAACGTTCTCTTCATTCAGCGGTCCATGGTTGTTTAGCACTGATACTGTACTGAACTACATCTCCTGGCGGAATACTTCTTGATGTCGATTATTATTAATAATAACAACTTGAATAATTTCTGAAAAAGTGTGCATTTTATCACATTTCATGTTGGCCACCATTTTATAAGGGCAATACGCCACTTGAGGGTGTTTTAGAACTAAGAACAGCCTCCCGTGATAAGATCGCAGAAACCCATGGCCTCTCATGGCTTATTGCTTTATTACTGATTATTATCATTCAGTTTCTCAGTATCTCAAGTATCTCAAGCAGAGCTGCCCAAAAATGGTCCGCAGGCCAATGTGTGGCTTATGAGGACGTTTGATTTCGCCCACCAGAAAGTTTCCCTAACCCCACCCCCTCACCCGATGAGGGAGCAGACAAGTTTTTACACTATAGAAGACTTATTAAAATCTTATTTTAATAAATGAAAGGAAGTGATGTTTAAAAGTTGACACATCTAGTTAAACATGGAAAATAGCAGTGAATGGGTTTGAGAAAGATGGTGTACATGTCTGCTTCTGAGTGTGCATGTGTGTGTATGTGTGTCTGTGATAAAAAGAGAAAGAGAGAGTGACATTCAGAGTTAAGTGCGTGTAAAGGGACGAGGAACCAGTCCAAATATTTTCAAACAACTTTAGTTTTTTTCTGTTACTATTAGCTCATCTAATGTGTGACTGTTACTATTTAATGAAAACCCTATGTGCGTAGTGTGCATGTGTTTGTGCTAAATTTTCTATTAATCGGCTCCATTGATGGTAAAAATGCCAATCATTTGCATCACTTTAATTAATTAATTATCACAAATGTTTTGTTTGAGGTCTGCAGTGACAAGCTTAGACGTCACTGCATTACTCTGACCTGTAGAGGTGTTTATGTGAGAGAGATTGTGTGTGTGTGTGTGTGTGTGTGTGTGCGTGTGTGTGCATGTGTGTGCGCATGTGTGTCCAAGTCTATTTGGACAGAGAACAGACCTGTCTGCACTGACTCATACAGAAGAGATCATATGTGAGGGACAAGTGCTCACCAAATGTCCAACCAGCTGCTGATGGCACACACAGAAAGAGAGTCGTTACGACAGCCCATATTGGTGTTAGAGATATTTTTATTATATTATATTTAGAGTAATATAATAATATATTTAGAGTTGTTAAAGTTGTTTATTCCATCTGAACGTCTTCATTACCAGTGACAATCTAACAATGCTGTATATATATATATATATATATATATATATATCACCCTTCTTGCTAGATGTGGTTCTAGACCTAAAGTTAGTTATGGATAAGAAGTTTCACTGGATGCACTTCAAGTGATTTGACTTGTCTTAAAAAACACACAGCTCTCAACGCTGCTGTCGGAACAAAACCTTGTGTCTCCATTTTTTGATGTTTTTCAGTTACCATTTTACCATTTTCGAGATACAAGGTTTTGTTCCTACAACAGCGACAAGTTGGCTCCCAACGTTTAGGTAAAAGTGCCATCTCATTCACAAATAACACAACACTAATGCTCACCCACTGCACAGAACATATACACTGTGACTGTGTCTATGCCCATTGTCCATTTTATCAGCTCCACTTACTATACAGCGAAGTGTACTCTGTAGTTCTACAGTTACAGACTGTAGTCCATCTGTTTCTCTACATACGTTGTTAGCCCCCTTTTACCCTGTTCTTCATGGTAGGACCACCACAGAGCAGGTATTATTTGGGTGGTGGATCATTCTCAGTGACACTGATTGTGGTGGTGTGTTAGTGTGTTGTGCTGGTACAAGTGGATCAGACACAGCAGTGCTGCTGGAGTTTTTAAACACCTCAGTGTCACTGCTGGACTGAGAATACCACCAACCAAAAAATATCCAGCTAACAGCATCCTGTGGGCAGCATCCTATGACCAATGAAGAAAGACTAGAGGATGACCAACACAAACTGTGCAGTAACAAATGAGCTACTGTCTCTGACTTTATATCTACAAGGTGGGTCAACAAGGTAGGAGTGTCTAACAGAGTGGACAATGAGTTGACACAGTGTTTAAAAACTAGGTCTAAGGCCATGACTAAAGTGTCAGTTAGATGGGTATACAGCCCCCCAGAATTGGGCTGCGGAGCAGTGAAGCTGCATGCTCTGGAGTGATGGTGAGGCATCCAGTATTATTATGATGAGCTGGAGTGACCCAGAACTAATTGTCCAACTTCAGTACCTGACCTCACTAATGCTCTTTTGACTGAATGCAATCAAATCCTTACAGCAATGCTGCAAAGGCTGAAAGATATTTTGTTGAGCATCTCCAGTGATTTGCTTCTCTCTCTTTATCCTTCCCTGGGTTAGTGTGTCTGTGTGTTCGTCTGATCACTCTGCTCCCTCAGATGAGCACACGTGCTAAGCTGCAAACAGTCTTCCAAAGCCTCAGCGGCTGTGTGTGTGTGTGTGTGTGTGTGTGCGTGTGTGTGTGTGTGTGTGTGTCCTCACAGCTTAACTCGAGTAAGAAAATGTTTGGTACTCCAGCAGGACCAGAGAGTGCCTTTTTAATTATAGCCCATCTTCTGTTCATATGCTTATGGTGGCCAATTGTCTCAGCATGTTCTCTCCAAAAACACCCCCCCTCCATCCACTCCACTTCTGAAAGAAGGGACGCAAAGCAGAGGAAATAAACAACAGCTTTACTGAAGCTATCGTTTTCTGTGTGTGTGTGTGTGTGTGTGTGTGTGCACGTGTGTATGTGTGTGTGTGTGTGTGTGTGTGTGTGTGTGTGTTGCTCGTATGCTCTCAGCTGTTCCACTGCCCTGCTTTTCTCTCTGCTCCCGCCTAATGTGACTGTACACTACTTTACAGGACTGATTCAGTGTGTGTGTGTGTGTGTGTGTGTGTGTGCGTGTGTGCGTGTTTGTATGTTAGTGATGTGTCATTCACAAATGAGTCAGCTCTTTTAGGTGAACATCGGGAGTCGACGGGGATAAACACAAAACAAATGACACTGTAGAAAAAAAATCTAAGGACCCCCTTTGTGGACCTCTGTCCCCTTATTATCCCCAAACCTGTTGTTTGTTGTATCAGTTAGTCTCTGGTTCATCGTGCTGGTTTTCTTATAATTCTTAGCCATGTTTACAAGTGTGCCTCATTAGTTCTTTTGATTTTTAATGTTTACATGCCTTTATTTGATGATGACAGGTTGTTTGTTTTGCCTTCAATTAGCCCATCTGCCGATGCCTGCCTCATCATTTATCCAGTGAAACTACTCAACATCATCTGACTTCTGTAAAAAAAAAAAGTAATGATAAACCTAATAATAATAATGCACTTGTTGTTCATTGGAAGGTAATTGAAGGTTTAAAATGATAAGCTAAACTAAAGTTTTAAGGTAAACTAAGGTGCTAACTTGGCTAATTTCAGAAACAAAAACTGTCAATGCTACTGAATAAGGACTTACTTGGGAGCTTAAGAGCCAACTTTTATGGATAAGCCGATCTGGTTCACTGGAAGCAGCTGGAATGCCTATCACTAGTGAGTGTATCTGAGAGCCAATTCATGTTTGAATATTTAAATGCTTCCAGAGATCCTCCTCTGCATTCTTCCTTTGTGATACCGAACTTTTTAGTATGTTAGCACAAGTGCTACAGATGCGACCATGAGGCCAGAGCTGAAACTTTAATGGACATAGCAACAGTAAACAAGGGAGGTGGGTCAATCAGTGCATACAGTGGGGTCCAAAAGTCTGACACCACCTTGAAAATCAGTTTTTTTTTCATTTATACTTGGAAAAAAACAACAAAAAGTTTTTTAATTAAAATTTAAAACTATTCAGATTTAAGCAAATTTGTGACACTGACCATGTTTGTACAAAAAGGTCTGATATTTTTGGTCTTATTCCTTCTATTAAAGCACTTGTTTCAATGACTCTCAGGTGGATTTGATCTACTCATCAACAGCTTTTGTACAAATGTGTGGCATCCATGCGAGCTTGAGTGCACACGGTCATTAAAGGGGGAAATGCTGAATACTAAGAATTTTTTTAATTCATGGTAAAATTTCAAAGATTTCACTTTTCACTCAAAATGTTACACTGATGGTCTAATTCATAATGAATACCTTTGTAATATTTTCTCTATTGTATATACTGATTGACCCACCTCCCTTAGTTACTGTTGCTATGTCCATTAAAGTTTCAGCTCTGGCCCTCTGGTCGCATCTTTAGTGCTAACGTACTAAAAAGTTCAGTAACACACAGGAAGAATGGAGGAGGACCTCTGAAAACATTTAATTATTCAAACGTAAACTGGCTTTAGATGTTCAGTGCACATGTTTGAGAACTGACAAAATATGAATATAAGAGCAATTTATGTATTTATGTATTTCTGTAATGTTATTCATCATTAGACATCATATTAAAATAAGCTTTAGTAAATAGAGTAAACTAAGGTTTAGCTGGCACTGAACGCCTTGCAGAGTTTGATCCAAGACTTTTTCAGGCATGTGTCAAGCATTACACAAGCTTCAGTCACACCTCTTCACATCTCTTAGAGTAATAATTCAGACTCGTTAACCATGTGTCGTTCTCACTGCAGGTCTGCTCTGATGAGTTCTCTGATGAGACAGTTGTGATTGGCTGAGAGGCACATCAATCATTATTTTCCAAACAGTCAACTCTTATCAAAGTAAGAGGAATCATTTGCCTACTTCAAATGTCAGAAAGCAAACAATCTCTCTCTCTCTGTTTCGACACACACTGTTCACTTCCCATCCTTTTCTTTTTTCACTTTCATTCTCACTCCCTTTTCTTTGGTGCACACTGCCCCCTGTGTCAACAAGTGCACTCTGGCCTTAAACCCAACACCCATAAGACGTCCACTCTGACACATGGACAAACAGATAAGCAATGTGTTTCTCTCTTTCTCTCTTTTAATCTATGCTCTGTTTCTCTTTCCTCCATCCTTTCTTTAACTGCTTCCTTTCTCTGTGTCTGTCTCCCATGTGTGAAGGGCCAGGCAGCATGTTCATGTGGACCAGACCCAACATCTGTCTGGCCACAGCTGGCTGCGTTTCTTTTCTCTCTCTCTCTCTCTCTCTGTTTCTACTCTACTTATTGATACAACATGCAAGCTTTTGTGTGGAAAACAAATGCATGCCTACCACAGTCTATACAGTACTGTCTCAACATGGATTAGTTTTATCTGAGGAAGTAACATAATTTAAGCCATTCTCTACAAGATCTGTGATTTTAATCCAGATATAAATCTGCAATTACCTTTGTTTTCACAAGTCCAATAGCAGTAATGAATGAATGACCTTCTGTAGTAGTCATTTAAATCTCCAGACACAGATCAGTAAAGTTATACCGGCTGTTTGCAGCTCCGTTAGGGGGACGACTGTTTATCTCTCGGCTGTTAACATTAGCAAAAGTTATCTAAAGGCTAGCATTGTTCACATCTGTGTTAATTAGCTGATGTCGTTACCCTCCTATGATGACAAAGAGTTTTTTCTCCTCTTTATGCAACACTATGGGATCTTTTACCCACCCTGACGTGAAGAGCCGGTGGGCTTCTGTGCTTTTAAATGCTTTGAGGGACTCTCCAGAATAGGGAGAGGAGTTGTGTATGAGATAAATATAAATAACAGGAAAACACAAATTTGGAGCTTTCTGCCAGTTTAAGTGGGACCAGGACCAGGAGTTTAGGGGAAACTGTATAAGGATTGCAGGCTATTTTATCGACTTTGTCTAGGCAACATTTTTCTCTTCCAAAGCAAGGAGAGTAATTTCAGAAATTCGGTCAAAACAAAACCTTGTATCTATATATATGTATATGCACACATATAAAGTTCGCTATATACATCGAATACAAACAGAGGTTGTGCACTTGACCACTGTTCCATGCTGTCACTCACCTGCTGCGGCTTTGGAATGAAGGTGTGTGTTCTCTTTCACGCTGTCGGTCCCTCTCCCTCTCTCTGTCTCTGTCTCTATCTCGGGTCTTCTCCCTCTCTTTCTCTCTCTCCCTCTTTTTGTCGTGACGAGTGTAGTACTCCCACGCTTTGGCACTGTCCAACATACCAGGCCAGGAGGCCACAGCCCTCACCAGTGGTGGGTAGACACCTGGACAGGTTAAGAAAGAATAGAGGAAGCTGATTAGACAGAGTCACTAACATAGTAATGTACATTACAGACCAAAACTGGAACAAGCAGTAATTTTTCGAGTTTCGAAAAATACCTTGCAATCAAAGAAATATACCAACAACCAACACAATACTACTGTGTTTATTGCCACCAGTTTAACCATCGTCCATTATTCTACTGGTTTGCAGTAGTGATGCACAATGATATCGGAATCATACCTATAACAGCAGGTCTCAGCGACAAATGATTAGATTTGACCAATATTTGAGAGTGCATTTAAATGCATTGGGGATGAGCAATCTGATTAGGTGATGCCGAGCTACTAAGCTAAATGTCTATCTTTTATTTATTTTACTACATTTGCAACCTACATCAAATAAATGTTGTATTTCTCAAATACAAAGAAATTTCTGCCCTGCTAGATCTGCCCCGGTCAACTGTAAGGGCTATTATTGTAGAATGGAAGTGTCTAGGAATAACAACAGTTCAGCCCCAAAGTCGTAGGCCACATAAACTCAGAGCGAGGATGCTGAGTGCTGAAGCCCACAGTGCTTAAAAATCACGCATCTTTCTGTTGCATCACTCACAACAGAGTTCCAAACTGGCTCTGGAAGTAGGGCTGAAAGATGAATGGTTTTTATCTCGAAATCGCAATTTCAGAGAGGGCAATTTTCAAATCGCAAGAGCTGCAATTTTATAAGAATTATAACCTACATTATCAAAAACCCTATCTAGTTTTAAGTGGGGATATCTAACCTAATAACAGAGTTGTATACTGCCTGTGGAGTAAGACCAAACAGAGACAAATAAGTCTCCATCTGTTGTGACATTATAACCACAAATCACTGGCTTTCTGGCACACTATATTGAGGGGTCAAGCCTCAACCAGAAAAAGTGGATATTCTGGTCTTCTTGGCAAAAAAAGGACTAAACATTAATTTATAAACAATAACCACAATTCAAATTGTAGTCGTTATATTAGTCAGAAAACTTGTAATTAGATATTTTCCCCAAATCGTTTAGCCCTATCTGGAAGTAACATCAACACAAGTACTGGGAGTCCGTGTGGACGTATCTCATGTGACCAACATTTGCCTGTAGAAGCGTGGCACATTACCAGCAAAAAGATCCTGGATTTACTAATTTACTGATTTTACACTATTACTGTAGAGTTGCAGTCAAACCCTTGTGTTCTATGCTAATGTGCCTATCACTACCTATTCTCTCTAGAAAAAAACATCATGTAAATCTTTACAAAATTAGTGTTGCTGTTCTGTCTAAAATATCTCAGATGGTAAGACCTAAAAACACATGCTACCTTCTCAAGTTTTTAGTACAACCGTGATTGATGTTCAGATTGAGCTCAATTGCTGGAAATTACAATGAGTCAGAAATGAATTTCCACAGGGTTGTTTGAAGTGAGGCAGGCTGAGCTCGATGAGGAGGGTCAATGTTTCACAATAAACTACATCTGCGATCATTATCCAAACACTTCCCCTGACTGAGAAGGAAATTTCAGAAATCAACAAGGCCTGGTCAAAGCTCACCTATGGACTACAGCTGTGATTTGTGTGTTATTGTAAATCATTCAAACTGAGTATCTGGGACAGGTGGAGAGACGAGTGCATGCATGCACGCTCCACACACTCACTAAATCAGAGCAGACCATGAAAGCTTACTGAGACTTCTCCAGCAAACACAGTGAACGAATAAGCTTTGCCATCACCACTACAAGTAGAGGTTAATGGGGCTACTGCACACTGAATGGCATTCTCATTTGTCTGTGTGTGTGTGTGTGTGTGTGTGTGTGTGTGTGTGTGTGTGTGTGTGTGTGTGTGTGTCCTTGTTAACCTCTGCGTACAGTAATGACGTGTGCTGGGGAAATGCTTGCAGTGCAGTTCTACTCTCAGTGACTGGAATAGCAACTCTCCTCAGCTTTACTCTGTGTGTGTGTACAGTAATGATGTGGTGGATATCATCTACAGTACTGAGCAGAACTCAGAGACCACCCTTCATTTATTTCACTCCCAGTCAAAACGCCCATTAGGTTATTCATCTCACAGGACATATTTCTGAGGAGATTAGATAAAAGATAATCCACTTGCGTAAGGAAGGAGAAAGTCAAATAGGACTCCTTACAACTGTGCAAGACCTGGCAGACCACCAAAACCGTCAATAACAGATAAACACTAAAGGGCTTTCATCTTTGCGAGAGAGGAGAAAATCAAACAGGTGTTTCTGTCCCTCGTTCCACTGTGACAAGATAACTCAACACTGGGAGTCTGAAAGGATGTGTAGCTGTCAAGATGCTCTTACTGAGAAAAGGAAAGAGATAAAAGAGAAGAAAATCTGAAAATCAAACAAAGAAGCTGCTGGTGTTCTCAGAACAGCAGGACTCGTTCACCAATATCTTCCTATGTTTCTTCTTAAATGTTTTCTTGGGAAAGGTCCTACGAAAAGGCCTGTGTCAGAATCATGATGTGTTCTTAAACCGCAGAATTGTTCACTACTTTGTGTTCTTGAGTGTGTGTAGATTCTGTTCCTACCCAAGAACAAATCCCAAATAAGAAAACACAGGTTAATTTCAAGGTCTTCAAGAAAACTGCAGAAGTGTGTTTTAAGAAAAGATTTCTTCTTGAAAACGGCTGGTAAATGAGGCCCAATGGACTGACCACTCCAGAGCCCAGGGCTTAACATTACTTAATGTGCTTGGGATTGCTTAGATCAGGGGTGTCAAACTCAAACGCTATATTAAAAAAATCTCAACAAATCCTCGGGCCAGGCGAACAGTGGTTTTATTTTAGTTTTAATCAATGTTGTGCTACAACTGGTCATTGTTTACTCAAAATACGCAAAAACTTCAGGAGGAAAAAACAGGCACTTGTAGCAGACCTTGAAATATTTCATGAATTGTCTAAACGTTGGCTTTATCATCAGGAGATTGTGATTTCAATCCCTGGTGATGCTACAGTCATCTGTGGCTGGGAGTCCAAGAGAGCACAACTGGCCTCGCTCTCGGGGTGAGTAGGATGGAGTTCTCGGAGGAAGCCTGTGCTAGCGCTGGTGGTATTGTGTGATGGGGGGAGTCATAGCTAGTGGGTGGAATTGGAAACAAGTAAATTGGGGAGGAAAATGGGGACAAAAAAAGAAAAAGAAATATTACATGAATTATTGTATGAACTATGAAATATTCAAAATTTAAATGTCCCCAGGATATTTTGCTTGAACTATGCTCATTGTGAAACGGCTAATACTAACAGAAAATGAAAACACTTTTGTGGGCTGGATAGGATCAGGCCCACAGGCCTTGTGTTTGACACATGGGGCTTAGATCATAAGAAACAGATTATGCAGCCAACTTCTAAGACTGAACTCTGGAAGTGTGAAAATTTCCTGATTTCTTCAAAAAACTGAAAGCAAATCTGAAAAAAATGAAATTCTATTTAGTCGTTGAGGCTTCTGTATAAGTGTGAATTATATCTGTTTTCTGCTTTTTCTTCTTGATGATGCAAAAAGGACGATTCGTACTTAATGGCCATTATGACTGAAAATTAAATGAATGAAGGATGGTCTCCGATTTTCGCACAATACTGTATATGCTTAGTAAACCACTGCCACTGTGTCGGTCAGACAAACGCGCGTATGTATGTGTGGCGTAAATAACAGCTGTGTTTCTGAGCAGCTTTGACTGGCAGCTCAGGATGTGTGATGCTCCAATTACAGCGATCCAAATTCAATATTTTCCCACCATTCGCTAGACTTTAGGAAATTTCACCAGGAAAAGATTCCTGAGACACAGACTTGAACTCACACACTATTGTTTACACATTTGCTTTCCCACACACACGCACAGCCAACAAAAACGCTAACAGTTCCATCAGCAATACTTCTTAATTTCCCAACCATCACTGCAGGGCTGGAGGCTAGAGCTTTATGGATGTGACCTCAGTGATCACTGGGCTCTGACTCAGATTATTATCTATTGATAATGTAATGGAGGATAATTGAGACTCTGCTCTTAACTTCTTAACCCTATCGAACCGAGCATCTGGCTGGAGGTCTGTTCTCAGTTGGCGAAGGAGCCTTATAGTCATTTAAATCTGCCATCTGAGGAGTTACATGTGCACGTTGGCCAGAATGAAAAGTGTCAACAGGAAAAACATGTCAAGATCTTTACATGTCAAATAAATGCAACAGATCATATGATTAACGAAGAGAAGCAGATTAAACAGCAGAAATAGCCACAGTTTTGTGTTAGCCTTGGATTAATTAATTTAATTAAGCTTTAATTTACTTCCATTTAATATTTTATGCATACTTAATGTACAGTGGGGACCAAAGCCTGAGACCACAAGGGAAAAATCTTCTCTTTTTTGTATTCCTTATTAATTTAATACAAAGATTTTCATTATAATTTCGACTATCAGGATAAGAGCTTGAAATGTTTTTGAAAAGTAGATTCTTTGAAATTTTAACATGAATTTTAGAATTTCTTAGACTTTGATGGATCCTTTGTTTGTATTAAAGACAGTGTGCACTCGAGCTGGCATGGACTCCACAAGTTTTCGCAAAAGCGTCTTCTGATCAAATCCTTCTGAGAGCTGTCTGAACATGAGCTTCAATGGAAGAGACGAGACTAAAAAATGACCTTTTTTACAAAGGTCTTAACGTGTTCAATATGACAATTTTGCTTAAGTTTGAGTAATAAACTAGAAATAGTGCAGAATCTTGAATTTCTCCTTCATTTTACTTTTCATAACTTATCTTTTTTTTATTATAAAGGTCTTTGCATTACAGATTTCACAATATACAAAAGACAAACAGCCTAATACCCCCAAACCCACCCATCCCATCCCCCCTCCAGACGTACATTGCTAAGACAAAGCTGTACAAATACCAACATTATATAAAAACTGAGGTTTTGCAACTTAAAATAAATACATATTATGGAGTTAAATTTTCGCCTTCCACTTTATCCACATATGTCAGAAAGGGCTGCCAAATCCTACAAAATGTCTGTACAGATCCTTGAAGAGAGCATCTCATCTTCTCTTTGCATCTCTATCGCATAACCTCTTTGATCCACTGAGAATAATTAGGGGGAAGATCCTTCCACCTAAGCAGTATTAATCGCCTGGCCAGCAAAGTACAAAAGGCCAATATGTTGCATTTATAATAAGAACAGTAGCTTATTGGTTCTTCCAGAATTTTAGAGAGAATATAAAAAAAATGATTTCCAAAAGTGATATAATCTTGGGCATGCCCAAAGCATATGTAGTAAACTTGCAGAATAGTTTCAAAAGTCTAAAATGTTCTGTTGTTCATTTCCAAGTTTCAATGAAAAAAAAAAAAAATCTGATTTTCAATGTGACCTGATTGTACCTGACTGTAGCTTCAGTAACTGTTCTTATTATAATGGGACAAAATGTGATCTACATGACTGACTTTGATTTGAGTACTTCAGAAACTGCTAGTCTTCTGCAATTTCCCACACAACAAACAAGAATCCATGAAGCCAACCTGCCTTGTGTCAACAGTTCAAGCTGGTGGTGGTTGTGTAATGGTGTTTTCTTGGCACACATTGGGCCCCTAATATCAATTGAGCATCCCCCATCACCAGATCTGAATCCAACAGAGCACTGTGGGATGTGGTAGAATGAGTGACTGCGCAGCCAACAAATCTGCAGCAATTAAGTGATGCAATCATGTCTACATGGACTAGAATCTCTAAGGCATGTTTCCTGCACCCTGTTGAATCCATGCCACAGATTAGAATCCAGAATCCAGGCTGTCCTACCCAGTATTAGAATGATGTTTCTAATAAAGTGTCCGGTCAGTGTATGTAACAGTGACAGCAAGTACATAGAAGCAAGTAAAATTAGTGTATAATAGTGTATGGTGTGATATGTTTTGATGCAGCATACCTGCAGAAAAGGGGTACAACGGGGCAGAATGGCTTCCTCTTGAACGAGCACTGCAAAAGTAGAGACAATATAAAATATGAGTAATCAGTGAGCAATAACATCAAATTACAGTAACGAGAAACAAGTATTCAGAATGTGTTTTGTTATTTAAAGTATTCCCAGTGCATATATCCACTTCATATTTACCCACATAATGTCTTTTGACTTATAAATATGAAGAAAAACATATGTATTTCATAGAACTGACAGGGAAAAAGTAAGACACCACAAATTAATAGCAAAAGTACATTGTTTCAAAGCCACTGCTGGAAATTACAGCTTCCAGACATCTACAGTAAGAAGTGATTAGCATTTTGCAGCATTGCAGTTCAATTTTGGCTCATTACTCTTTGCAAACTGTCTTCAATTTCCACTTCAAAAAGGTTACAAGGGTCCTGCTGATGGACTCACAACCCCCCATACATCTTCAACAGGATTCAAGTCTGGAGATTGGCTATTTACTCGGCTCTGTATCATTGTCTTGTTGAAGTGCCCATCGTCTTCATTCATGTTTCCTTCCCTGATGTGCCCCCCGCACTATTTGCAGAGATGCAGCATATGTATCTCATGATGGTCCCACCTCCTTACTTCACTGTGGATACGGTGTTAGGATCATAGGATTGTCTGAGGATGATGTTTATGGTCTTTTCTATGGTTCTGTAGCTTTTTCCATTCAAGTGTTGCTTAATAATGTTGTCCCTGAGAACTTTAGGAAGCTCCTTCACCTTCACCATGATTGCCACCTGTTGCATGAAATCTTCCCAACAAACAGCAATGTTATTTACAATGACGTTAGGTGCACTTTGAACAAGAACATTTTTTTCCAGAATTAACATCCAGCACTTAATTTGTTTCGGTGTAGCTTTTACCTATATATATATATATATATATTTTTTTTTTTACAGTAGTGTCTGCTTCTTTCACTATCACTTTAGTTATTTAAACATATCTTTGTTTATGCTTATAAATGTATACTTTTTTGCTCATATTTATTGGTACAAAGTCAAAACGCATTATGTTCGTAAATTTGAAGAGGATATATGCACTCAAAGTATATTAAAAAACAAAAAAACACAAACAAAAGGGTCTGAATACTTATTCCCATTATGGTATATGCTTTAAGTTAGCAGACATAAATATGCACAAATGTGCACCTCAGCATATTCAATTGCATTTGTTCCCGCATTAATCTTTGACCTAGCGGGGCTCAGAAGAGACTTATTTTCTGCCTAAATTAAGCCAACTCTGACCAAACTGAAAGATAGTAAACAACATTTTTTGAAGCATAAAAAAAATATAAAAGCAGCCATTTACAGGAAAAAAGTCATTTGGAGTTGGCCTGCATACGCCGGTCTACCTGTAAGCCAGCATAACACACGGAGACCATTACATTTAACGAAGGATAAAGAGAGGGAATAAATGTTCAGGAAAGTGGGAAGAGAACAAGGGAGGGAAAAAGAATAAAGCAGTGGGCTTTTTTTCAAATCTGTTTTCTCAATGATCAAAAGCTTCGTCTCAGTTTTGGCTCTCAGTTTTCCCATCTTTTGATGTGACTGGCGCTCGGTCAAGGCGCAATGTGCGCCCGGTAACCTGGCAGGTTTACGTTTGTGTGTGTATGTGTGCGAGAGATAAAGTTATTACGGATATTGGCAGTGAAAACGCTGCCTGTCCACAGTCTCTGGCGTGCCGCCCTGCTCCCGATTGAAAGCTTCCCCTAGGGGTGAAAGGTGAAAGGGATGTGTGCGTGTGTGTGTGTGTGTGTGTGTGTGTGTGTGTTTATGAGAGCGCGTCCAAGAGGACTCCTTGTGGACAGGTGTTAGTTCAGACTCCAAATGCTCTGCTTCTATAAATAAGCCTGGAAGGGATGCTGCTGTGCTGTTTCCTTCCATCCCTCCATTCCTCTTTCCTCCTGTATCTCCTCGCTCGCTCTCCTCCTCCTTTCAAAGTCAGCCAGCTCCCTAATCTCCCTCTCGCTCACCCTCTAGTGCTGCACTCTCAGGGCCAGATGTACTAAGGTTTTCGCCCCAGGTTTCAGGCGCTGACAGGATGCATTCTGTCCGAAAAAGCATGCATGTTATGTACAAAACTGGCATATGAGTCTAAACAAGAAGTTTGGTTGCACAAAGAAAGGTTGAATTGAATTTCTGTTCATTATAGATATGCATTTCGGGGAGGACGGTGCAAAATATGGGTGCAGAAATGATTCTGGAAGTGCGGTTAATTACATACAGGACTGTGCAAAGGTCATAGAGACCAGCCTTCATTTATTTAACCTATTAAATGACCCAGGTCTGGAGGCGGGCCGGATGTTTTATTATACACTTCTATCATCTATGAAGAGTTCAAGCTGTTCGCATTGAAGTCCCTGTAGTTATTTATTAATAAGCCTTTGTATGTAATAAGTCTGGGATTTTAAGGGGTTCATTTCCAGTTTAAACAGACATTAAGTTAGTTATTCATTTTTCAGGAAATATTTTGAGGAGATTCCAAGATAATCCACTTGCATAAGGATGGAGAAAGACAAAAGGTGAATAAGTGAACAGCTAAAACTGGAGTTCAAACAATTATTAAAAGATACAGAGATAATGGGGCTCCTGACAACTGTAGACCACCAAAACTGCCTCCATCAGATAAGCGGCATTTAAAGCTTTCATCTTTAAGAGAGGAGAACACATGGAAAGATCCGGTTTCTGTCCATCTTTTCACGGTAAGAATACAACACTATGGGTCTGAAAGGATGTGTAGCTGTCAAGAAGCCATTACTGAGAAAAAGAAATAGACAGAAAGAAAAAAATTGCAAATCAAACAAAGAAGCTGTTGGTAATCTCAGAACAATGAACTGACCACTCCAGACCTCAACATCACTGAATGAGTTTATGATTACTTGGATTGTGAGAAGCAGAAAATGCAACCAACTTCTAAGACTGAACTTTGTAGGTGTGAAAAATGTTGCTGCAGATTTTTTTGAAGAAGTGAAATCAGTCTAGCAAAAAGATTGGAAGCTGTAATAAAGGCTAAAGGTGGACAAACTAAATGCTAAAAAAAGACATAAATTTAGGTTTTGTGTTAATCTCTGTTGAAAGTATGTTTTCTGCTTTATTTATGATACTAAAAAAGGAATAAATTGTACTTAATGTTCATTTTGCCTTAAAACTAAATAAATGAAGGGTGGTTTCTGACTTCCGCACTAAAGTTTCAGTGTCCACTTTTAAGTTGAATTTTCTTGGCCACTTAAAACCAGGTGTAAATTAGCTGGAGCATCTGAAAGGCGTATCGTTGGGAGACTTCCGTTAACAATGGTAGCAGTCATGTCAGCTAGCGAAGGCACAGGCCTCAAAGATGTGCTGAAAGAATATGGATTATTACAGTATTTTAACTCGCACCTCAGACAGAGTTTTCCTAGTGACTGCTGATGTTGGTTTTGATTGTTGTTGTTTCCCAAATTCATAAGCACAGCATAATTAATCTGTGGTTCTTTTTACAATTTTAGCTACGAGTTTAGTAAACTAAGCATTAATGTCAAACACATTACGAGCAAGTACTGCAGACATGGCATATACGTATGTACATTTGGGGCAGTATTACATTAAAGTCCTATCTTTTTGTCTTAAGATCTGACAGGTCAAGATAAGATTTTTCACAAATTTATATTAGAGAAGCAAAATTTATCGTAATTTAGAATTTTGTCTTATTTCAAGTTAAGAAATCTTAACCTACTCCATCGAAGTCAACAATCACCTGTCATGTCTGTTACCAAGTAACCAAAAATCCGCACACAGCTGAAACATGAACACGTAATCAAAATAATAAATGCTACTGTTACCAATGTAAAAAGGTCAAAACAAAAATAATAAACAATAAATTGGAGACTTGGAATATTATGAGATTGTCCCCTGCTGTTTATCAGTGTTGCTGCTCCCCGGTTTCAGTTTCCATTTCCTAAACACTTAAGCTGACTGCACTAATGTCATTCCTCCTAATAAACAGCTACACGTTCAACTCTGTCTCGAGTTTACATCAACGTTAAGACAAGAAATTAATAAGAGGAGACGGTGAAGATTGTGTCTGCAGCGTCTGGGATTGTTAAAATGAAGAGTTGTAAAAGAAAACATCTCATAAGTGAAAACACCCCTTCGCAGTAATAAATAAATGTGGCATTATGCTAGTAGTGAACTATGCTGCCTATAACAGTTGCCTAACAACAATAGAAATGGACGGTTAAAACAGAAGCTGAAGTTGACGGACACCACTTGGATTGTCTTAAAGTTAGAACAGAATTTAGGAAATTTTGCCTGGTTAGGCTGTTTCTGTAATACTGTTTTCTTATCTGGAGTTGGGAGAAGATTATAAACTGAAGAGCTAATGGCTGCCGTCCTAAATTCAGTCTTAACTGAAGTTGAAGTGACTAAACAGCTAAGATAAGATGTCGGAGTTAAGATGTTTCTGTAATATGGACCCTCACCCTCTCTTTCTATGGAATACGTAAGGGAAAAGACAGAAGAAAGTAAAGAGAAGAAAGGAGAGTCCTCACTGATGATAATCGATGTTAGTGGAGTTGGCAGCTAGAGTCTTTTCTCACCCCCCGAGGCTAGCCTTCATTAGCGCTAGCCTCGTTAAAGCAGCTAATCACTGCACAGCTCCCACAGCACTGCCCACACAATGCATAAACCCTAAAGACATGCTCTATAACCCATAGCTTTGCGTCTCTGTGCTTTGCCATTTCCAGCTATAGCAGCGTCCGATCAATTTAACTTAGCTTAAAGTAAACTTATCAACAAACCAGCCACTGATTGCACTAGATCTTTCATTGGTTTTCTCTTGGGCAACTGAGCCATAATGGATTTTAGATGTCAGATCTCAAGCCACCAAATTCACCAATTTCTGCTGCTAAAACAAATCAAGTTGATGACAATTCTGGGTATTCAAATTCACAAAGCAATAAGGCCTACCTTTCTCCCAGTACTCTGAGAGTAATAACTCTTTCTTCAGATGTTTGGGCTGTGTTGAGTTT